CGAGGCGACAACAACCGAGGAGACAACAGTGACAAACTTTTCTGCTGACAAGCTTAAAACCTAGCTGAACGCAAGAAGCGCTTCTGATGCTCGTCCAGAGCCCCGTAGGTTCATCTGCAGCCCTGCAGGTTTGCCGGGCCAGCTCCGCCTGCTGCTCTCTGCAGGTCACTCGCAGCCAACCTGCAAGTCTCTCTCCGAGAAATTTTCACTCTTGTCACTTCCGCTGCACCGTGCGAAGGCGCAGAAAGCAAGCATGGAACTGGGCCCTGGCAGCGGGTTCCGGCGGTGTGGTCGCCTCGTCCATGATGCGCATAGAGCGTTTCAGACCGCAAAGACAAACAAGGTGACAAAAGTGACAAGATTTCAAAAGAAGGTTTTTTTCTTTGCGAGCCTTCGTCGCCTCGATTCTTCGCCGCCGCCGGAACGCCGCGAGGCTGGTTCCACGCCGCAGCCGCCCGGAGCCCAGTTCCACAACATCGGCAGAGCCCCCAGTTACACGCCGCGGCAACACCGCGCGCCGTCGGGCCCGCTGCCGGAGACCAGTTCCACGCCAGCAACGCTGCCGCCTGGACGCGGCGACCGTCACCGGCCTTCTCCCAGAGCTCCGCCCAGGTTGGCGGCGGAGGGCATCCTGGCCTTGCAGTCTGCTGGCGCCCGAATTCTTCGGAGACCAGCCTTCAGAACTCTATCGACGCTGGCGCAGCTGGCCGCAGCTGGCCGCCGGCGACCGTGGAAGCAATCTCGCGGCACGGCGCCTCGGGGATGCTACGGTTGTGCCACAAGCGCGTGGCCTTCTTGTAGGGATAGCCGTACTTGCAGTAAGTGACGTCGGACCAGGGCAGGTTGGCCATGAAGGGCCGCCCCTTCAGAGGGTGCGGTCGCCCTCCTCGAGCCTGCGGGGCCGGCGCGCGTCAGGGCGCGGCTGTACTCGGTGCAGGGCGACGAGGCCCAGAGCATGTCGAAGTAGCCCGGAGCAAATTTGGGCAAGGGCTCCCAGCTGCAGACGTCCGCGCAAATCGTCGCCTCGGATTTGGGGTCGAGATCAAGGCTCACCACCTCCCAGCCCAGCTCCGCGAAGGCTCGGCCCACCGACTCAGTCCCCGAAAACAGCTCCAGCAATCGTGGCATCCTCGTTTTCCATGTCGGGCTGGAAGGCCAGCTAGATCACCGCAGCGAAGGCGGCACAAAAGCAGGCGAGCTGCAGGCTGCAAAGAGCGCATTCCCGGAAGGGCTCCGGCCGCGGCAGATCCTCGTCGAAGAGCCGCGCGTGGCTGCGCCGAAGAGCCGTGCGACTGCCCCACATCTTGGTCGGACGAGTCTTTTTTCATGACTGTAAGAGAAAGCGCGGCCCGACCGAGCAAACGACAGTGTAACGGCATAGAGCTCATCCTGGGCGAGGTGCAGACAAACACTCGAGGAGGGAAGTTTCTGCCCGTCAAGTGCAAGGAGACGAGCTGTCCCACATGGCGGGCGACCGAGGCGCGGCGGTGCTCTGGGAGCCGTCCGCTTACAAAGACGCGAACAGCGAGAGGGTGAACGTCTGCCTGGAGGCGACAGAAGAGGCCTTGGCGGAGGTCGCGCGCTGGGAGAAGGCCGCGGTGGAGCTGGCCGTGAAGCACGGCGCCGCGATGTTCGGCAAGCCGCTGAGCCAGGCGCAGCTGCAGGAACGCTTCCAGTCTTGCTTGAAGACTTCCGCGCAGGGAGTGACCTTCTTGAAGCTGAAGGCGACGTTGCCCAACGTTCGGTTCTGGGACAATGAAGGCAAGCGCGAAGCGCCTTCCAGCCTTCGAGGGCGAAAGGTGCTGGTCGCGGTGCAGCCGCGGCAGCTGTGGGTCATGAACCAGCAGTGCGGGCTGCTGCTGGAGCTGCAGGACGTTAAGTTGGACGACGGCGTGGAGGAGTGCCCGCTGTAAGGAAAGGAGATGCAGCTGCGGCCGCCTCCGCCGGCCCGCCGTCTCGGCACAGCAGGGGGCCGCAGGACAGCCTGATCGGAAGCCCTCCCAGAATTCAGAATTCGTTTTGATGGATTTTGCCGGAAGAAACGTGTATAGGAGGCCGTAGCGTGCCTCTCTTTTTTTTGCACCACGCTTGCTTGTTGTGCTCGCGCGTGCGCTTGTATGTTAAAAAACTAGATGCGTGCTTGTGTGTGCACCAGCACGCTTGTTTTCTGTGCGCGCAAAAACAAATCCAAAATATTTCGTCAAGACAACAAAAATCATGCCTAAAATCAATTTTAAAAAAACATGCAAAACCCATG